ATGTGTCCACAGGGAAACACTTGCACTGTGTTCACAGGGAAACACTTGCACTGTGTTCACAGCAAAACACTTGCATTGTGTTCACAGGGAAACACTTGCAATGTGTTCACAGGGAAACACTTGCAATGTGTTCACAGGGAAACACTTGCAATGTGTTCACAGGGAAACACTTGCAATGTGTTCACAGGGAAACACTTGCACTGTGTTCACAGGGAAACACTTGCACTGTGTTCACAGGGAAACACTTGCACTGTGTTCACAGGGAAACACTTGCAATGTGTTCACAGGGAAACACTTGCACTGTGTTCACAGGGAAACACTTGCACTGTGTTCACAGGGAAACACTTGCACTGTGTTCACAGCGAAACACTTGTACTGTGTTCACAGCGAAACACTTGTACTGTGTTCACAGCGAAACACTTGTACTGTGTTCACAGCGAAACACTTGTACTGTGTTCACAGCGAAACACTTGTACTGTGTTCACAGGGAAACACTTGCACTGTGTTCACAGGGAAACACTTGCACTGTGTTCATAGGGAAACACTTGCAATGTGTTCACAGGGAAACACTTGTACTGTGTTCACAGCAAAATACCTCCACACTAAAACTTGTAGGAATTTTAGCCTATTGGAGGGTGCTATGCTGATTGTCATAAGAATACTGTGTAATTGAATTCCACACATCACCTCAAAATACAGTAATAAACAAAGAAAAAAATTGACACGCTTTGAGTCGATGCTCAAATATGTGTATGTAATATTCCAAATGTACTGTGTACTGAGGTTCTGTATTTGGTAATGATATTAATAAGAAGTGTTCATTCGTATAGTTTGTCATTGTCTGCATTTTGAAGTTTGTTACGCATCACGCCATTGGATAGTAATCTGTGCATCTCTGTTGATCTTACTAATATTATCAATAAGAGAATTGTTGCAAAATCATGCACGATTATAAAGTGTGAGTCATTCCAGCAAGTCAGGGTTGTGAAAATGTGTGGTCTTATCCTATATGGTACACAGTAAAAAACGAGCACACTGCAATAATTTAATTTCAGTATCAGATGTAATAGCACACAACTGAATTTAATATCTGCTTAGTTTTAGTCGGATGTTTGTTGTCATTTAATATCTGTACACATTATATGAACCCAGTGATACAAGAATACAAAATCTATATGCCAGTAAAAAAAAATAAACGATTTTATCAATAGCAAAGTGTTAAAAAAATTGAAAGCCATGGTATATGAAACAAGGATGGATTCACAGTAGTCTGTCTGAAAGATGTTTCCGCGTTAATTCACTTCCCTGGATCCCGGCATGATTTCCCATCTATCTTATCTTCCGCATGTTCACCTCCACTGCATGCCTCTCTGTGTATATCAATTCTTCCCAGGTAAAAGTAATGAATGCTTGTGTTGTATTTTTTTTTTCATATGCATGTTTGTTTACAGTCAACCCATCAATGAAGAAATGGAAGACCCATCATCCCAAACCAAGTAAGTTTTATTGCGCAATGGCCCTGTGCTCCTTCATGTTCGCAAATCAGATGAGAATAGCCTTCCTGCATGTTATTTGTTTTTCTTTTCTGCAGTTACAGTAATTGGAATATGTGATACATCAAAACTAAGGCACAGGAGTATTGAGCTTCACTATTTGGCACAACGCAATTACAAAATATTATCTCCACGTAATTTATAAGTGAAATATATCCTTCCCTCATTCTGCCTGGTGACATTTACTGCATGCTAAATTGTGTTTTACGTACAGTGAGATATGTTGGATGCAGATTACATACATGGAGTTTGAGCTTGGTTCAACCAATCACCCAAGCCCATACTTTCACATGACCTTTGTTCAACCAATCACCCAATCCCATACTTTCACATGACCTTTGTTCAACCAATCACCCAATCCCATACTTTCACATGACCTTTGTTCAACCAATCACCCAATCCCATACTTTCACATGACCTTTGTTCAACCAATCACCCAATCCCATACTTTCACATGACCTTTGTTCAACCAATCACCCAAGCCCATACTTTCACATGACCTTTGTTCAACCAATCACCCAAGCCCATACTTTCACATGCCATTGGTTCAACCAATCACCCAATCCCATACTTTCACATGACCTTTGTTCAACCAATCACCCAATCCCATACTTTCACATGACCTTTGTTCAACCAATCACCCAAGCCCATACTTTCACATGCCATTGGTTCAACTAATCACTCAAGCCAATAGTTTGACATTATCTTGGTTTGATCTGCACATTCACTGTTGACAGATGTCTCATCATAATCTTGCCTTTAACATAGTATTTCTGAGACTCTGTCTGGATCTATGGAGTCATTAGATGAAGATGCAACAGATGATGCACATTACGAGAATGATCCGGATCTGGTGCTCAAAGACGAACCAGAATCATGGAGCGTCATGGTCGATAAAAAGGTATAATAGTCATAGTTGAATTTTGATTGAGATCAAAAATACTACTAGAGTTTATACTATGATTCTACCTGAGTCACTAAAGTTTATACTGTGATTCTAACTGAGTTACTAGAGTTTATACTAAGATCCTACCTGAGTCACTAGAGTTCATACTGTGATTCTACCTGAGTCACCAGAGTTTATACTATGATTCTACCTGAGTTACTAGAGTTTATACTACACTTGTATGATTCTACCTGAGCTACTAGAGTTTATACTGTGATTCTACCTGAGTTTAATACTAGAGTTTATACTAAGATTCTACCTGAGTCACCAGAGTTTATTCTATGATTTTACCTGAGTTACTACAGTTTATACTATGATTCTACCTGAGTTACTACAGTTTATACTACATTTGTATGATTCTACCTGAGCTACTAGAGTTTATACTGTGATTCTAGTTGAGTTACTAGAGTTTATACTGTGATTCTAGCTGAGTTACTAGAGTTTATACTGTGATTCTAGCTGAGTTGCTAGAGTTTATACTGTGATTCTAGCTGAGTTACTAGAGTTTATACTGATTCTACCTGAGTTACTGGAGTATATACTGTGATTCTACCTGAGTTACTAGAGTTTATACTGTGATTCTAGCTGAGTTACTGGAGTTTATACTATGATTCTACCTGAGTCACCAGAGTTTATACTGTGATTCTACCTGAGTCACCAGAGTTTATACTATGATTCTACCTGAGTTGCTAGAGTTTATACTGTGACTCTACCTGAGTTGCTAGAGTTTATACTGTGATTCTACCTGAGTCACCAGAGTTTATTCTTTGACTCTACCTGAGTCACTAGAGTTTTACTGTGATTCTACCTGAGTTACTAGAGTTTATACTAAGATCCTACCTGAGTCACTAGAGTTCATACTGTGATTCTACCTGAGTTACTAGAGTTTATACTGTGACTCTACCCGAGTTACTAGAGTTTATAATGTGACTCTACCTGAGTCACTAGAGTTTTACTGTGACTCTACCTGAGTTGCTAGAATTTATACTGTGACTCTACCTGAGTTGCTAGTTTATACTGTGATTCTACCTGAGTTGCTAGAGTATATACTGTGATTCTACCTGAGTTGCTAGAGTTTATACTGTGATTCTACCCAAGTTGCTAGAGTTTATACTATGACTCTACCTGAGTTGCTAGAATTTATACTGTGACTCTACCTGAGTTGCTAGAGTTTATACTATGACTCTACCTGAGTCACTAGAGTTCTACTGTGATTCTACCTGAGTTACTAGAGTTTATACTAAGATCCTACCTGAGTCACTAGAGTTCATACTGTGATTCTACCTGAGTTACTAGAGTTTATACTGTGACTCTACCTGAGTTACTAGAGTTTATACTGTGACTCTACCTGAGTTGCTAGAGTTTATAGTGTGATTCTACCTGAGTTGCTAGAGTATATACTGTGATTCTACCTGAGTTGCTAGAGTTTATACTGTGATTCTACCCAAGTTGCTAGAGTTTATACTATGACCCTACCTGAGTTGCTAGAATTTATACTGTGACTCTACCTGAGTTGCTAGAGTTTATACTATGACTCTACCTGAGTTGCTAGAATTTATACTGTGACTACCTGAGTAGCTAGTTATACTGTGATTCTACCTGAGTCACTAGTCTAGAGTTCTACTGTGATTCTACCTGAGTTACTAGAGTTTATACTAAGATCCTACCTGAGTCACTATGGTTCATACTGTGATTCTACCTGAGTTGCTAGAGTTTATACTGTGACTCTACCTGAGTCACTAGAGTTTTACTGTGACTCTACCTGAGTTGCTAGAATTTATACTGTGACTCTACCTGAGTTGCTAGAATTTATACTGTGACTCTACCTGAGTTGCTAGAGTTTATACTGTGATTCTCCCTGAGTTGCTAGAGTTTATACTGTGATTCTACCTGAGTTGCTGTAGTTTATACTGTGATTCTACCTGAGTTACTGGAGTATATACTGTGATTCTACCTGAGTTACTAGAGTTTATACTGTGATTCTAGCTGAGTTACTGGAGTTTATACTATGATTCTACCTGAGTCACCAGAGTTTATACTGTGATTCTACCTGAGTCACCAGAGTTTATACTGTGATTCTACCTGAGTTACTAGAGTTTATACTATGATTCTACCTGAGTTGCTAGAGTTTATACTGTGATTCTACCTGAGTTGCTAGAGTTTATACTGTGATTCTACCTGAGTTGCTAGAGTTTATTCTGTGATTCTACCCTGAGTTGCTAGAGTTTATACTGTGATTCTACCTGAGTTGATAGAGTTTATACTGGATTCCTACCCCTGAGTTGCTAGAGTTTATTCTGGACTCTATCTG